ACAAGAGACTAGGGCATGGCAAATCATAAACTTGGTATTAGGGATAGAAACAGGATAGAGACGGCGGGGAACGGAGCTAGTTGGCTGACAGTAGATCGTTTGTACCAGAGATGTGGTCCATGTAGAAAAAAAGGGTAACCATGACACTCAGAGGCTTACGCCTCGAATTAGTCACCCAGACGCAGGTGAGGGCGAATAACGCCTCGAGTAGAAGAGATGTTTTGGCAGGAGTCGAGTAATTAGGTGAACAAGGGGTAGGGCAGACGGATTTTACTGAACAAAAGGGAGACTGGGATAAGACTAGCGAAGAGGAATGCATAATAATAAAGCAGACTCTGATCAACACTCCCTGCACAAGGATGGGTGGGGGGTGAGAACGAGAGTTGGAGAGTGAAAGTGTCATGTCGCTCAAAGGAGCACACCACACTATCTAAATAAACACGGTAAAAAATTGTAATAGTGAAGGCATGATAGGATTCTACCGGAAACGCGAATAACCCAGGGCAGAAGGGGAGATACCATAATTGTTTAGCACACGTTTGGTCAAAGGATCGGCTTCACTTGTCCCTTTGACGAGTTGCTGTATGGTGCTTAGGATGGCGATACTCACTGACGATGCCGGCAAAACGTTTGGGAATGTACCACGACCACGGTTCAACTTTGGAAATGATCATGCAGACAACGGACCCCGGACTAGGTGAGTTCCAATAAGTCTTCCTACCAATATGACCATGTTGCGAAAGCAAGGTCAAACAACCTCTTAGCAACCTTATATTGGTAAAACCATATCATAATTGATGTATCTTAAATGTTTTCATCGCAATACATACTGATCGTGGTCCCGGCGAACGACCATGCGGTAAATTCTTATGTGGATAACGGCCTATGGACTAGTTGCATCACTAATAAGTCTTTGATTATACCAGAATTACTTTTACTTACGAAGTAATCTCTACTATTTGTATTTTAGCGTAGATTCCTTCAATCCACTCACGTGTTGCAACCAAGATTTTAAGAAATCTTGTCTGATGTGCATTCCCTATACACACGCACACACATTCATATACATATATATATATATATAAACATATATGTACATATATAGATATAGATATATATATCCCATATACACGATAAAAACACTAGCCTGAACATTAATCATAGACTGATGGATCAAGAACAGAGGGCATTCGAACTTTTGGCTCCAGGTTTCTTGAATCTCATTCATGTGATATCAAACTATAAACAAGGCAAATGTAAATCAGGTCACGCCTAGTAGCAATGTTAACAGTCCGCCATACTAAAGGCTCAACGGGGAAAATGTCACCTTCAGAACAAGCCAGGCCGTCGATAGGACAAAATTGCGCTTACCATTGCAATCCCGTTAGGATTGAAGATGAGATTCTAGACTGCAGTGCATCTCGTATGATAAGGTCTTCTGCAGGGGAAGGCTAAGTTAAACCAAAGGGCATCGTAAGACGTACTAATTTTATTAGGGAAAATGCACTTAAGAGTCTTCAGGTGACCCTAAGCGACATAGAGTGACTCAAGTTTTCACTCAAGAAGTCGACTTTTCATGCCTTTTTCTTTTGACTAGCACATCAGCATAAATATAAACCGAGTTGTATATCCTTCTTCATAAAAATTGTACTTTAAGACTGCAAAGGTTCGATGTCTACTTTGGGATCGCTTACAATGAAAAATTATAAGAAAAAATCTTTAATAAACTTGCAAGTTGTTAAAACCAAGAGATGAATATTGGATAGGATAAATAAATAGGATAAATAAAGAGAAAGATATTCAAGTCTGGTGTAAAAACATGCCTTTTTAAATGTTTTGTTGAGACGTCGGAAACTCCGGTTTTCGTCTCCTCATCATCTTCTTCAGTATATTCTTCCGAAGATTCCTCATTCCTATTGTTGGATTGATCATTTTTTTCATGCAAATGGTTAGAGCCCTTCAATTTCACATCCAGATTATCAGAATTCCCAAAGAATCCATGCGACAGATTCGAATAAGATTTATCACTAAACTCACTGGAGGCAATCGCAAAGTTAGCAGTCGCCTCTTTCAGTGTAAGAGAGGAAGGTTGATTTGGGGAAGTCAAAAAATCTTTTTGATTTAAGAACCTGAGATCAGAAGAATAAATGCTTGACGACTGGAGGATTGGCTTTTTTGCAATAGGAGACTGGGGTCTAGGAATGGCATGATATTGGTCCGAAAGGACACGGACGGATGGGGCAGCTGAAGGATTTCCAGGTAGACTGCTGGCTGAGGAGATTAGCTGAACAGGAGAGGTTATAGAACTGTTGGAAATCGACCTAGAGGCAAGTGGCAATTCTTTAAAGTTATAAAAAGGGAAAAGAAGGAATTATTAAACATTAATATGCTTATAAAAGAAAAAAATTTGTTAATTAGCCATCCTGGCCAATTGAGTTAAGTATTATGAAATAATTATTTCAAGAATAATGAAGGCCTTGGTTAGTTCAACTTTTTGACATTAATTGATAATTCGTTTTTTCATTGATAGATTCTTACATCAGAAAGAAATAACATTAAGAAAAAAGCCAATCGGGCGTCGAAAGCAGAGGAATAGAATATAATATTTTGAAATATTTAAAGGCCTGGGCATAAACGCAAAAATGGCGAATAACTGGTTTACGATAAACCTACTGATTAAGCTATGTTATGACTCATTTCGTATTAAAGTGTCTGACAAAGATCATCTTAGGTCGATCTTAACGGAAAAAGATTGGA